TTATTTATGTAAATATTACATACTTAACGATTAACGCAAATAAAAGCATATGACGTGCATTGAGTATAGCAGATTTCACAGAGGGTACCGATATGGATATGCACCGTGTGTTTGAGACATTCCAATTGACCACATAAATGTACTTCAGATTTAACAAAGAAAACAAAGGGTATAATTTATTTTTATCATATATAAATTTATGCCTAATTTTGAAATCAGAAAATACAAAATAAAATTTAAAATGAAATTCAATACAAATATTTCACTCACTTATTTATTATACACAATATAAGATATAACAAGAAAATAGCTAATTTTTCATAGCATGACAAATAACTACAACTTTAAGGAATAAAGAAGGGTATCATGTCATTGTTTCTATGGTATGATAAGTCATTGGGTCAGTTAATATTGCTAGAAGTAGACACAATGTCACCTATATTACTGTAGACACACTTGGTGAAAACTGCAGTATTACAGTAGAGGAAAAGTTTTATTATTGGTGTTTTGTCTTAAGTGGAGTGCATTTCCTGACTTGCTTGTAATTATGTTTAGAGGGGAATGTATGGATTCGAATGGATTTATTTGATTATTTGTTTGAATATAGCATTGTTGCAACTCAGAGAAAATTGTTTTTAGATTGGAAATTGTTTTATTTATTATTAACCTTGCTGAATTTTGTGCACTTGAATTGGAACAGTTAAATGTTTTTAGTCCCCTACCGGTTTAACCGGAGGGGACTTTAGGTTTACCCTCTGTCCGTCTGTCTGTCTGTCCGTCTGTCCGTCTGTCTGTCAGTCCGTCAGTCCGTCCGTCCACAAAACTGGATCCCGCGATAACGCAAAAAGTACTGAAAATATTTTTATGAAACTTGATATATGGATAGATGGCAGTATGGAGATTATGCACGTCTTTTTTTTTTCTTCCTATGTTGAAAATTCTGGTTGCTATGGCAACAAATAGTCTGAAAATATGGCAAATTTAAGACATAAACTGGATCCAGTGATAACTCAAAAAGTACTGAAAATATTTTTATGAAACTTGAAATATGGGTAGATGGCAGTCTGGAGATTATGCACATCTTTTTCTTTTCTTCCTATGTTGAAAATTCTGGTTGCTATGGCAACAAATAGCCTGAATTTCAAGATTTCTGATTTAAATTTTTCAGCTTTTTCACTATATGTTCTTTATTTCTTAAGGTGTTTACTTCAAACTTTAAATATAAGTTTCTGGTCATCAACCACATCATATGTGACAAGGTTTATAACTCTAGCACAAAAAATATCAGTATTACCTCCCTTGAACTTAGATTTTTTAGGGGAAAAAATGTTGTCTTTTTTAAATAACTTCTTTATTTCCTAATGTATCTACTTCAAACTTCATATATATGTTTCTTATTATCATTCGACATTTTTGAGAAGGTTAAATACTCTAGCAAGACTATTTCCAGAATTATGTCCCCCTTGAACTTAGATTTTTTTCGAGAAACTGGTATTTTCACTCCAACTTCTTCATTCCTTATAGGATTTACTTTAAAATCCCACATCGTAATAATATGACAAGGTTGTATAAACATAATTTCCTTACTAAGCATGGAAACTTAACACATTACTGTGATATAGACAAACTTATTTTATTATGTTTTGTGGTTGATATTTTCAAATACAGACTTCATCCTCAAATTCATTATAAATGGCAATACACAGGAGTATATGACAATTAAAGAACTTTTTGAGGGACCGGTAGGGGACTACTGTATTGCCCGCAATACTATCAAATGCTTGTTTTGTTTAAGTTTCATACTTGAGAGGATGGACTAGTTTAATGGTACACAATTATGTAGAAATAAACAAAATCCTGTATGGGTACTGGGTATAAAGCTGTACCTGTTTTATGCAATTTATAAATGTTAAAATTATGTTGTTTGGTGAAATTATCGAAAGATTTGCAATGTCTCTTCTGAAAAATATATGTAAACAATAAGATATTATGAAGATTTTTAACTGTTCAGCTATGATTCTGTGCATGTGTCATTTAATAGCTCAAAAGAAAATACAACAATGTATTTCTGTCATACAAGTATTTCAGAGTTGTTCTTTTTTAAAATTCAAACAAAAATTTTATAATCTGCAGATATCGGTGATATTGCTTTATACACTTTAAGTTTAAAAAATTTAAAAGATGAGAATATGTGACAAGAAAACTGTGTTATGAACTTTGAATATAGGTTTAAAATATAAACACTAATTTTTATTGGATAAAAAATTTGTGAGAGATTTGATAGTGGTATTTATCTGCACACAATGTTCAGTTAGATGATTTAACAAGGTTTAACCACATGAAATACATGATATATAGAAATTTTATAAATTCTTTAAAATTCTCTTAAATTTTTTCAATTTTTTTTTCAATGATTAGATTGCTGTTGAATTAAACAGAATCATTAACCAGGTTTTCAACGAAAACTGGGTAATAGTAATTCCGAAGTAGGCGGGTGGGCGGGCTGGCTTCAACTTTTGGTTTCCGCTCAATAACTTGAGTTTGCTTTGGCCTATTGACACCAAACTTGATGTGTAGGTAGCTTATATCAAGAGGCAGCTTGGGATTGCTACCCAGGTGTCTGTGATCAAGGTCACTGTTACTAAAAATAGAAATTCAGTTTCTGCTCAATAACTTGAGTTTGCTTTGGCCTAGTGACACTAAACTTTGTGTATGGATAGCTTATATCAAGAGGCAGCTTGGGATTGCTACCCAGGTGTCTGTGATCAAGGTCAAGGTCACTGTTTCTAAAAATAGAAATTTAGTTTCTGGTCAATAACATGAGTTTGCTTTGGCCTATTTACACCAAACTTGGTGTGTAGGTAGCTTATATCAAGAGGCAGCTTGGGATTGCTACCAATTTGTCTGTGATCAAAGTCATGGTCACTGTTAATAAAAATAGAAATTCAGTTTTTGCTCAATGACTTGAGTTTGCTTTGGCCTATTGACACCAAACTTGGTGTGTAGGTGCCTTATATCAAGAGGCAGCTTGGGATTGTTACCCAGGTGTCTGTGGTCAAGTTCAAGGTTACTGTTACTAAAAATAGAAATTCAGTTTTCGCTCAATAACATGAGTTTGCTTTGGCCTATTGACACCTAATTTGGTGTGTAGGTAGCTTATATCAAGAGGCAGCGTGGGATTAATATCAAAGTGTCTGTGATAAATGTCAAGGTCACTGTTACTAACAATAGAAATTCAGTTTCAGCTCAATACCTTGAGTTTGCTTTGGCCTATTGACACCAAACTTTGTGTATGGATAGCTTATATCAGGAGGCAGTGTGGTATTGCTACCCAGGCGTCTGTCATCAAGGTCAAGGTCACGGTTACTTTAAGAGAAATTCAGTTTCCGCTCAATAACTTGAGTTTGCTTTGGCCTATTGACACCAAACTTGGTGTATGGGTAGGTTATATCTAGAGGCAGCTTGGGATTGCTACCCAGGTGTCAGTGGTCAAGGTCAAGGTCATTGATACTAAAAATAGATATTCAGTTTCTGCTCAATAATTTGAGTTTGCTTTGGCCTATTGACATCAAACTTGATGAATGGGTAGCTTATATCTAGAGGCAGCTTTGGATTAGTACCCAGGTGTCTGTTCAGTTTTTGCGTAATAACTAGAGTTTGCTTTGACCTTTGACACCAAACTTGCTGTGTGGCAGTTTTGGATTGCCACTTAGATATCTGGGAGCAAGGTCAAGGTGATTTGCTTACAATAGAATTTTCAGCTTCTATTCAATAACTTCAGTGCACCTTGACCTATTGATTGCTGTCACATCAAAACTTGGTCGTTGAAAACCTTGTTTTTGTCGCATTGCGGCGCTTCTTGTTGTTAAGTTGAAAGGGTTTTGCAGCAATTTTCTTGAAATTTAATCAATGTCTGCAAGACAATGATAATATGCTGGTGTAAATGACAAATATTTCATGTCCATTCATTTAAGTGTTTTATTATTTTTATTGGATATTTAAATGACAGATTAGAAAAATTAGGTGGAGTTTCTAGGAGAGTCACGGTGGTGCAATAATTGGAATGGTAATTGTTTAACATCTGTCTGCAGATTTCTAAAGTCTGTCTGTTGTTTCCAGTAAATTTAATTATTTAAATGTGCACATTAGGGAATGTTTTAAATAAGATTAATTTGGACACATTTAGTATAATCTAGAGGGATGGATTTTTCATTTTTCAGATTAAAAAAAACACATCATTTTCTGCATTTGAAATAATAAACCGTATTACTGGATTGTATCCGCGTGTCGGAAATTTAGTGAGTTTAAAATTCCAGACTTTTCGCATGAAGAAATATTAGTGAATCGTGCTAGATTAGAATTTTATGATAGATTGGTTGATACTGACGCTAGAAGAAATTGTAGCGATTTTCAATTCCCAAAATTCGCCAAAATTTCTTGTTGCTAACTTAACCACTTATACTATAACATATTTGAAATCAATTGCAAATCTCTGAAGAAAATACCAATTGATCATAAACTTGTCATTATAACGGGGCATGCTGATTTGGTAAAAACCTTACTTAAGTCTCACTGTCTCTTAAGAACCCAAGCTGAAGTAGGTTGAAAAGAACCCAGTTAAGTATAACAGAACTGTAGGTTAGTGAAAAGACTTAATGATTTCCATCCATGGTCCTGATAATTTGTAGCAGTCTGGCTTCTTAGTTTTGTTATTCAATTATGTGTTTACATGTAACCACAATAATGTACAAAACAACTGAATATAAAATATTTGATGATTTAACATTTTGTTATTGATATTAAGGAAAAAAATAGAAATATAGATAAGAAGAAGTATTTGATAAACACACATGGGTAGTTCCCTGCTGTAAAAAATCCTTCAGATAAAGTCATGATCAAATGATCAAATTACTTCAATGGGATATCCAAAACTGTTGCTTGTCCTTTCTTTATTAACTTCCTTCTATGGCATGCATTTACTTTACATTTCATTTTAAGGCAGAGGAATCCCACTGAACTGCAGGTGTTGTCTTTATATACTTTACTTTATATATTTACTTGAATAAAACAGAAGAACGACAGATATTTATTTATGATATTTGAAGAAAATGATTACAATGTACATTTGTGTAACATAAAGCAAAAAAAACAACTGGATTTTTAAAACTTTTAAATTTAGTGGTAAGTAATCTTTTAACATTTAGTTTTGCATTAAAACTGTTCATGCATCTGTATATATACAAATAAATAAGCAGGCTAAAAAGCATGCATTTAATGATAAAAGTAGGGGAGGACACGCCTTTGTTGCAAATGTTTTGAATACGCATAATGCAGGGCACCATGTAGAAAAGCTAGGTGCAAATCGACAGCCCCAGTATTTTCATTATCAAAAATGACATCACACTTGAATGTGAAAAGCAACTGACAAAACGTTTTATACAAAAAACAAATGCACACTTGGAATGAGGGACAATAGTGGATTATCTTCCCTTGATAAAAACCGAGGTTAACCAAAATGTAAGTAGGTCCAAATATTTGGAATCCTTTGCTTTTATCGTTGAGTTTTATGTAAGACAGGTTGATATGTTTTAATCAATTATTTCCACATGCATCAACAAATATGTAAACAATAAGAAAAAAATGTTTCATTTATGTCAACAGATTCTACATCTTATCGCAATATTTAATCTGAATATTACAAATGATAATAATTAGCCCTAATTAATTCAGTTTGCTACAAAGAAATAGGCGATAAAGTCCGAGTAATCCAATAGCTTAGGACCTATCTATTTATAGGGAGTACTCAGGGGAGGTTATTCACTAATGTCCCCCATTACCAACTCAGACATATATTTTTATGCAAGGTAGCAGCCTAAATCAAATTTTTTCAAGCAATAACATCTACAGAAATCCCCTCAGCATTAAAATTTTATTAAATCCATCATCCCAAAGGCCTTGGCTTTAAATGCATACATGTATGCATCTTTGTGCTTCTGCAGATGTTCATGCACAAAAAGGATGGATTAACCCTCTGTTAGAACAACAATGTGCCATTACTTCTCCAGTTCAATAAAATATTAAATACTTAGCTAAATAAAGGACAAGATTGCCATTAACCAAATACTTATGCCCCAACTTTAGCAGACCAAGTGCTCCAGAATCTGAGGGTTGTAACCTTAAGAATGTGTTACGGTCTATAGTATATAAGGGGTTTAAACATATGAGACAATATTGTGATGTGACAGCATTAGACGCTTTTTATGACTAAATTTTGATTTTGTTTACCTTTTAATAATGAATACATTTTAGGGCTTATTTTAAAAAGGAATCCAATTTGATTATGAAATATTCAACTTATGTTTTAAAAAGTCATGCTAGGTTGAAGGGAACAATGTATTTGTAATAAACCACAGTGGTAATTACGTAATATGGCAAAACATTATAAAATGATAAATTGATCCAAATTATGTTTTGTCCTTGTAATTTATAACAATTAATACGGAATATAATCTAATGTTTGGGTTTAAGGTACATTAAAATATTATAATTCACAATAGCACAGCTGTAAAGTAATTGCATTTATTTGTTAAAACAACATAAAATCATATGTTGACCATCTACAAACATATGGTCAAATCAAACAGGAAGTTAAAATTTTTGCACTTTAAGAAATCATTAAAAATTCTTGAACAGTTGTTAAATTTTCTTCAACTTTAATTTATTTTACAAACCTTTGAAGACAGAAAGAATTATGACAATGCAATTTTGTACTTAAAGCAATCTCAGCTTATTTTATAAAAAGCTTGAATAAAAAACTTAAAACTCTAGATGAGATGAGCACGTCTTAGTATTGCTGCATTAATTACTCAGTTTCACTATATTTTTCTCTAGAATTACTTTTTAGCTCGACTATCGACTATTTGATAAGAACAGGTACAGCTATCCTTTTTAAGTCACCCGAGCGACAGTGTATTACCACTTACGTTAAAGTTTTTGTAACACCTCATATATTTTCAAAGTCCATTGACATATGGCATTGAAACTTTGCACACTTGTTCACCATCATTACCCCAACCGGTAGACAAGAGAAGGTAACTCTATCAAGCATTATGACAGAATTATGTCCCTTTTTCGACTTACAATTTACATTAAAGTTTGCATACCACCAGTGAGATATTTTCATATTCTATTGACATCTAGCATTGAAACAAGTTGAAATTTTATACACTTCCTTGAGAACATATTATAGGACTTTCTCCAAGGCCTATAACTGTAACATGGATTTAAAGGAAAAATCAACTTTGAAAATTTTATCAAGGTTCTTTTACTGTCAAGCACTATAATAGTCAAGCGTGCTGTCCTACTACTATCTCGCTATCTTGTCTCTGTGGGTAAATGTGGTATGGATAAAATACAGTTTTTCACACAAGAAGTATTTTTATTAGTACTTAAAAATTGCAATAGTTTGACCACAAGTGATCTAGATAAAAAGGAACTAATTCTCTGTGGTTTTATTAGGCCCAAATAACCCTTAAACTAAAATCATGTATTAAAGTGGAATGTAAAATAAAGAAATAAGTCATTTATGTGGCACAGTAGTGAAAATATTTTCATTAGAGCTTTTAGTGCTTCAAAGGAATTGTATGTTTCTGAGTGTTTTATTTTGATTGAAAATGTATTTCTTGTAGGATTTATTGCTTTAAACTTTATAGTATTTTACAATTATTTGAGAGTGTGTCATAATGAAGTAGTTGATTGGTCTGTTATAAGATGAAGAAATAATTTAACCTTTGATGTAAGCAAGGTATATTTGATGTGTATAATAATATTTATATATACACACATACAATGTATACATATATGTTATAACATGTTTACATGTATCACCTGCTGGAGATGATGAAAGAAAGGTTTCTTATTTAATGTGCACTAATCAGTCCAGGTGGATTATTTTATAGTGTTTTTTATAATATTTATTTCATTTTTTTTAATATGGAAATTCTACAATCAAATATTGGCAAACCTTTTAATACATGTGTAAATGGATGTTTACTAATTGAATTAATGGAATATATTAGTTTTGAAAATTTGATAATTAAAAAAAACAAACTTTTTTTGGGGTATATATGGTATTCAATTATTGCATTCAGGTGCATGTGCAGCTTGTGTTTGTGCAGGTCACAGTCTGTATGTGTGAAATAGGGATAAGACATTTTCATCAGCCTGTTACGTTTCATTCAGCATAAATTTTGTTCAATCAGTACATGTTGCACTTTGTTGTGCCGGAATAAACCTTTACAGAATTATTTTTTTATGTAAGTAAAGTGTGTAACTTTTGTTAGGAAATTACTTGTTAATATGTTATAAAAGTGATGTTATTGTAATGTAAATGTTGTAATTCTTTTATTTAAACTGCATTTTCAAAAACTTTTTTTACATCTCGAAAGTGTAATAATAATATAATTATATCCCTTAAAATAGAAAATTCCTAGCTTAGAACTTGGCAAAACCACATGGTAGCAACAAAAACACTGTGAACATGATATTTTTTACATCTATAAACATGATGTTTTTATTCTTAATTTAAACATATGAAATGCAGTCTGGTTTTAGTGATCATTTTACAATCTGAATAAATATATATAGGTATTTTTACAATTACTTCTTTTCATGAAAAGTTACATAAATGTATTTAAAAGTAAAATATTGTGAATTAAATGAACAAAGAATTAATGTATTCACACATTGCATTAAGGACATAATTACAGTCCATGTAAATTACCAAACATAAGTCAAAATATGCAAAAATAGCCCTTAATGCATTAAATTTGGTAATGTAGTAGAAACATAGAAAAATATACTTCAAAATCAGTCATTAATCGCACCTAACATGTGTATCTTGAATCTCATCTGGAGGCAGCTTTAGTATAATTATTATATTATATGTCACAATTAATGTTAATGTTAACATGACATTTTAAAGTGTTCAAAATAAGGTAGTTTTCTTGCAAACTCAGCATTTTATAAAAAATAAAACAACATCCCCAGCTGACTGTTAGATGAATAACAATACATGTATGTTGGGGATTATAACTGAGAGTGAAAATGTGTATACTTAGGTACTCCTCTTTTTTAAGTTTTTTTTAAGGTAAAATTTACCTTACAGCAGAATATGTAAGAATTATTTTTTTTTTGATTTGATTTGAATTTAGAAAATAATTAGAAATTTAGCATTTAAGGCCAATTCTTTAAGTTAATGCTGATTTATGATGCAGAATTTAAACACCTGCCTCTAGCATTTGTAAGGAAGATATCAATTGATCAGGAGTTATTGTAAAATTTTACACGGAATATATTTATGATATTTGTGTATTTTCTAAGAATACTTAATCCAAAAACAAAGAAGGAAAGCAATTAATAAATATTAGACAGACATCGAGGAAAGCATTTGATTGGTCAATTACAAGGGAACACAGAAGCTTTTATAATTAAAAATTGGCACTTTAAATTAAACCCATCTGGCTTAAAATTTTCAGAGATATTGGTTTTTAATGAATGGAATTTTCATGCTAGAATTCAAATGATTTTGCAGCTGGATTTTTCTGTTATTTTGAAAGATTTCATTTCTTGTGGAATTAAGTATTTTAACAATATACAGGATCCATGGATAGACTTTATGTACAGTTATAATGTTCTGACACAAGGAATTAGTGATCTGGGAGAATATTGCTTCATTTATTTGAGATTATTTGGCGCTGTGATATCTGTGTGGATTACAGGAGACCATGGAGAAACAATTTGCCTGCAATAAAAAATGTTCTTTCAAATACTATTAAAGTGTTTAATGAAAGTCTGAATGATTCTGTATCTTAACAGAAGTGGATTTGTATTTGTATTTGTGGAGGAATAAAAAGATAATAATGTTATTTTGTGGAATGGTAGAAAATTTGCCAAGATGGCCTTGGGAAAATAAAAGGTAAGTTTGGTTATTAATTATGTTAGTTTTAATAATTTGTGCAGCTAGATAATTGTTGAGAATTATAGTCTACAAGTAAAGAATTATATTTTAACATTTATCCCATAATTAAATTTGTTGAGCAAATGTTAAAGTAAATGTTCTTTTTTTTTACTTGTTGCAATAATGGTTATGTAATGCAAATAAATGTAATGTTTTCTTCAAT